CCTAATCCTTTACTACTTCTTTTTTTTTCTTTTTTATCCTATAGGGAAAGCATAATTCCACATAATTGGGACATAGAAGCTTGCGATGGAAATTACAGATGGTTGCAAGAAAGATTTTGCCTTGGATGGAAATGTATTCAACAAAACAGTAGCTGTGGTAAGACCCGGAGAGACATACATGAAGGGCGAGTTTAGCAACAAAATGCAATCACCATAATACACAACGTCAGGAACTAACGTACGTTAGCTGCTTTCTCCCAGACTTGGGTAGAACAAGGACTGGCTCCGCAATTCGTACATCAAGCTGGAAACTGCAGTGCTTGCGGGAATAAAATAATTGGCCACCAAAGTCAGCCAGAGCCATGCCGCTCCGCTCTCAGCCGACGACTTCTCCCCCGCGCCTGGTGGCTTCGAGCATGACAACACAGATGTACCTCGTAGCTTGGGCTCCCATGCCCTGGTGGCAACTTGACGCAAGGTTTGCTCAGTAACTACAAATATTAAATAATTTTGACAAGTGGCAAATGAAACATTTTCACATGCACTAATATTTAGCACCAAAGGTCGTACTTTTTTTACTACAAAAATGAACTTATTTCCTAGGAAGGTGGCATCTGGGCACACTTAGGGACAAGGTCCTTGACCTCTGCAGAGATGTGAAAAAAATACCCTGTCGTATGGTCAAGAACTGATTAAGAGTCGGTATTGTCAGTGCCCGGCCAGCGTCTCACCCAACCCTGTTCCCACCTGGATGCGCCATAACTGCAACAACTCTTCCACGACGCCGCTGAGCCCACTGCCGCCATCAAGACGCTCCAAACGCTCGCAGCCTCCCATCGTGCAAGGGGTCGGTGGTAGAAGGTGAACGGCAGAATTAGGAAAAAAAAAAACCCGTTTGATTTCCTAACTGTTATTCTGAATCTTGGATAACGTTCTCGCCCTTGCCTGTCCCCACTGACTCTACAGCTATGCCTGAGATGAGTAAATGGCACGAAGGCAGGTAAAACCTGCTGAATGTCAAAAGTTTTGTACCGGAAATGAAATCTGGCTTCTGCGGCTCATCTATCTCATTTCTGGATTTTATTTTTTTTTTCTAGGCAGGTTTAGGCCTCATCTGCGTGGAAAAAAACCTCAAGGGGAAACCAGGGGTTAGTTTTCAGTCAGCAGAGCCTTTTTTTTTTTTTTTTCCCAGAAGCTCCCATAGATATCTCCTTAAAATGAGGAAATAGCAAACTCATAAGCTGGGAAGTAAATTCTCAGCCTCTTCCCAAGCTGTCTGGTTGTGTTAGGATTCCTTATCATTCAGTTTTATTTCTCTCATAATTCATTGACAGATGACTCTAACAGAGATCAATCAAAAAAATTAATGAAAAAAAAAAAAAATCCAGCGTATTAGAAGATGGTTCATCTCTGTAGTGAAACAACCACCTCTACCTTCCATTTTGAATAAATTCAGATGTTAACTGAAGTGGCCTGGCTTACTTCCAGTTTACAGTAATTCTATTCCACTTACCTGAAACTGTCCTTTTAGTACAACTCTGATGAAATGTTTGTCATCTCTCAACTGCCTGCCGTGGTTACAAAGTGCTACAGGAGCGCGAGTGGCTATGGCAGTGGCAAGCAAAGGGATTTCTTTGTAGGCAGTGATAAAATTTTCAAGAGCATCCTCCACTGGCAGAAGTCTGTTTCCCTGGAAGAAACATGGAATTTCCACAGACCCAGATGGGAGCTGAACTAAGCCGACACAGGTGCTTTTGCACATCCCAGTGACGCAGAATTCATTCAGATTATTAGTCGGCTGGAAAGACAGAACTTATACACAAGAAAAAAATGAAGCTAGAACCCTAAAAATCAGTATTATTAAACGAGAACATTGGGAGTATATGGTAAGGGCAATTTTATTTTCACCGTGATGGCTTGTTTTTCGTTTCCCTTGATGCTATATTTTGCCTAATGTTTTTCTGGAAGAGAAGCGGCTTGAAATTTCCTGTGAAAACAAAGAGCAGAGAGATGAACTAAAGAAGTTCCTCGTATTTCAAGCAGCGTTTTGGTACAGCTGTTTGGCAAGAACTGTAAATACTTACTGGGTTTTATTTCAAGGCTTCTTTTATAAGCTTATCTCCTTTATTGCTCCAAAACAGCAGCAAAACCCAACACTTCCCTATCCACGTACAACGCGTTACTAACTGAACCCACCTCGGAAATGCCGGTGGACGGCTGCGTCTTCCGAACATCCTAACCTCTCACACGGAGTCGGAAAGTGGAAGCCACCTTCCTCTTTATTGTAGCAGCAGTTTAATGACAAGGAGAGGTTTTTTTTTACTCCTGCACCCATAGGCTGTGTTAAATGCATTTATTTTTTACTACATTAGTTAGGTACTTTGTAATCCTTCAACAAAGTAAGAAATGTCATAAATACGAAGCGTCATCCCATAAAGTGATATTTTAGAGTGGCAATTGGGGATCATGTTCATGATCTGGTGTACTCTTCCAGGAGGAAAGCGGCAAGTGGAACCAAAGCTCAATTAAAAGATGAGAGTAAGAAATTAAGTAACTGCAAGGATCCTATTCATCAAAAGACCGAGGACTTTCTGCAGACAGAAGAAAAACCCAAAGCTACTCTCCAAATGATTTAAGAAGCCGACAAATAAGGAGAGGTTTATTAATCATTGTGGTCTAACCTCATTTAACGGGAAGAAGTGAGGCGGTTTTGATAATACACGAAAGCAGGACCCAAAGATGACAGACTTTTTTCATAGCTCATGGATGGATCTACACCTCTGGGTTTGTTTGGGAGGATGGGGATGCAGTTAGCAATTCTTGAACAACAGCTTGCTTTTCTTCCTAAGCAATAGCCAAGAGCGCACGCCAGAAGGCAAGTGAAATTCATGTTCTTGTAAAGTAAGTTATCCTGTCTAATAAAAGGTAGAACTTTTCTGTTATTATCTGCTGGAAGATGTCCTGATTTACAGTTCAGATACAATTAACAGTTTCATTTCACATCATTCTTTTTCCTCATAAGTGAATATCTGAATCACACTGAAAAAAGCAACTACAGACAACTTCTATAAACCCAGTTACAAATGGGTGGTACAGCCAAAGTGAAAAAAAAAAGCCTTGCTTTCTCCTGGTTTTCTAATGGAATGATTTTTTTTCCCGAAGAAATCTTCAGCCCAGCACCTCAAGCACCTCATCAAACAGGATTTAGACATTTATTTTCTTTCGGGGGTCCCATGTGCAAAATTATTAGGATAGCTACCCTAGGCTTCGCAGGGCAGAGACCTTTGGCATCTACCCTGTCCCTAAAATGCTACCTCCACTCCCTCACACCATATACACCCACACTCGACCCTTCTTCTTCCTCCTCTGAACTCAATAGCTATAGAAAACCTGAACCCTCCCTTCTCAGTTCGGTTGCTGGCCCTGGCGTTATCTGGCAGCACTGCTGCCCGAATGGTTAGAAGCCAAGCAAATATGTATTTAACGGGAATTATGAAAATCGAAAAGTAGAAGGTTCAGCTTTCTGAAAAGCACCTTCTTCCCCCACATCAAAGGGCTCATTGATTTCTTGCTCAAGTTCCAACCAAAGTGGAGCTAAGTGGGTGAGAGGAGGGAAGAAAAAGATCAAATCTAATCTTAGGAGCCGTGTCAAGCAAGTACTTTCTGGCCCACCCGAAGTTGATCATGAGACAATTCCTGAATGTAAATATGATTTAGTACGCCTGGCAAATGTTAGGAATCTGTCTAAGCCTATTCTCCAGGTGAGAAATAGCTCTTCTTTTCCTTTGCTCCCTTTTGGGCATCCTTGAACTTTGTATTCCTTGAAATCCCAAGTAACTATTCACATTAATAAAGTGCTAAGGTACTTGTCTAGGAAGACCGGCTCTGCTGATTTTGGCACTTGAAAAGGGAAACCGCTCTGTTGTTTTAACCACTTCAACACTCACCATCTCAGTTTATTTTCTTATCCCATACAACTTCTGTTCAAGATCAAACAGGAAGCAATTAAGGTGAGCCTACTGCAAAGCAGCCCTCAAAATACGTAGCTGGGTCCCTACTGCGGAATGAAGGTCACACCCCAAAAATGTAGTTAAAACGTATGCAGAAGGAATGCAGAGCCCATACACGGGGGTGACCGGTATAAAAACACAACGCCTCAACCATGGCCAACACAGACGTTGCTACCGGCGCCTTCATGGAGGCGCTGCTGGCAACGCTGGTTGAACCAACAAAGTACATGAGACCAATGATCTTATCTACTCGAATTAACACAAGAGGGGAGGGGAAGAAACCCAGCCAAACTGTCATCATTTCCTCTCACCTAACTCCCCTTTGACTCTTGTCAGGTCACTGCCGTGATGACACAGAGAGGGATGTCATGGAAATAAGCATCTAACGACAACAGTGGGAGACAAAGCAAAGTCTTTACACAGGATTTAGCTAATTATATTTTGGGCACATATTTATTTATCTAAAAACAAAATAAAAATCATTTTTGAAGGAAAAAAAAATGTATTTAAATAAAAAAACAAAACTGTGAAATGTTATGGCACAGAAGTTCAAGACAAGTATAAATCCAGTTGCCACAACTGTTGCGTATTAATGTTGCACATTTTTCTATAAAGACTTTATTAAAAGGTATTTACATTGCAATAAGATGTGTAAATATATACAGCAATCTGGGGACAACTCTTTTTTGGGATTCTCATATGAAAAAATGCCTTAAATACAAAATTTTAAAAGAAAAAAAGTTGAAGAGTTCATCCCCAAGCATGAAGAATGTCCCATCATCCCTTATGCCCAAAGTATCAATTATGAGGCAGTTTTGAGGTTCTGGCCAAACCCTCGGGAGATTCAGCCAAGGTTGTGTAGTCTCAAGTTAAATCGCACAGCATGCAGTTGCAATAGTTCCATACTCGATGGACTGGTGTAGCTCATGAGTGATATTAGAAACATTAATATTTTATCAGAGTTTCAGTCTAGTTTGGGTTATTCTAAGCGATGCCCAAGAGCTCCTATGCACAAGAGTTCCTTAGCTGCTCGAGTTTGTGTTTCAACTGTTCTCTCCTCCGCCTCAACTGCTCTTTCTCTGCGATCAGTCTGTGTTCGTCCGACTGGATGGAAAGAACGTACTCCGTTGCTTTTTTCAGGATGACAACCTTGGGCGCCTTCTCGTTGTTGGCCACCTCGGGTATCTGGTCACGCAAGGCAAAGAAACTCAGCTTCAGCTCGTTTCTCCTCTGGCGCTCCAAGACGTTGTGCGTTCGCCTCTTGTCGTTCTCCTCTGAATCTGACGTGCGGGGACTCGAGCATTTTCGGTTATTGCTGATCTGTTTGAGAACTCTGCCACTGTCCAACTTTAGCCTTTTTGCAGCTGGGTATTCAACCTTGGTGGAAGGAGGAGCGGCATAATTGTGCTGATGGATGTTGACGTGACACCGTTTGAGAACCAACGGGCTGTGGTGGGGCTTACTGTGCTCTTCTGATGTCTCTGTGCTGGATTCTGTGCTGGATTCGGATTCGTTCGCTTCAGCTAATGTAACGACATCGATTTCCTCATCTTCCTCTTGCTCTTCTTCTGTGAGGGGGGGAAAAAAATACTTATAAGCTGCCTGTGCAAATAGTCTCAAGATCGCTGTATTTGCAAGGGAAGGTAACCCTGAGCTGCACAGCAAGGAACCCATTGCTAAACCCTCGTTAAATCCATTTGACGCCGCTGGACTCCACTTTCCCCAAGAGCCTTTCCTTTAAGGATGCAACACTTCAAGTGCAATGGGACACGGAGACTTCGCTCCAAAGCCCGGCTCCCTGATTTCAAAAGCTGCAAAGATCTTGCGTAATTCCGAGGCGCGCATGAAAGATAGCAGGGAAGTTTAACCTCGGTTGTCAGCAGTACAGCGCAATAAAGCTCCCAGACTCAAGCTGCCCTTAATTAAGGATTTAGAAGGCTTTGGCCACGCCTCAAAAGAAAGCTTACTTAACACACATGTGTATTCAGAGACATTTTCTGAATCTCGCTTGATCTGCTAATTTGCGGAAAATCCAAGGGGGGAAGGAGAAAAAAAAAAAAAAACAACAAAAAAACACCAACCCCAAACCCATAACCAAACCGGGAAGGCTGTAGCGCTCCGAGTAGAAGCTCACTCTCAAACCAAATTTATGAGGGAGCGGAACAGGCTGTCAAATACCTAAGGAAGCATTTCTAAAACTTTCCCAGCCCCATTCACTCCTCGGCAGTCACTTTCACTGGCACCTCCCCGCCGGCACATTCCCCCCGCGGCTCTCGGCGGGGGGTCAACC